AACCTTAGGCTAACCCAAGGTATACCCTAAACCTAATTCTTCCTATAAATTCATCTTGGCCGAAGTTTGTAATACTTTTGGACATAATTGAATGAGTTTTCTTCATTTGAAATCTATCCCTCCGAAAGTCTCTCTCAACCTACCTCTACCCTACTTGAGCTCCTCTCCTTGTAGAGTTAGGTCATTGTTCTTCTATCCGGACTTAGCTAGGTCAAGACTTGGCTACCTTGTTCTTCTTGGAAGCTCCTATTCCTTGCACTTCATCCAAGGATCCGAGAAGAATTGAAGCATTCCTTGAGGGTTCTTGAAGTAGAACCTCATCAAGTGGTATCTAGAGCTTCGATCATCAAGAGATAAATGTTCTTGTCTTTTGAATGGTTGTATGATCCGTGTTCATCTTTGTGTTCTTGTCAATTGTTGAGTTGATTCTTTCCTAGATCTAATTGTGCCTAAAATTGATGGATCTAGTTGTTGATGTTGCTTGAATGATTCATATATGCGTTTATATCAATTGCTTTTCATGAATCATGCTCCATATCTTATGCTTTTAGGAAAATTCTGCCTATGAACATTATGTTTTGCTTGAGTCTTATTTGAAAATTTTTTTTTCGGTCAATTGAGTGTTTGATGACATGCTTGATGAGTTGCATGGGTCATCCATATTTTCCAAAATAGATCTTAAAAATGGATATCACCAAATTAGAATCAAGGAAGGTGATGAGTAGAAGACTGCTTTTAAGACTAAGTTTGGATTATATGAATGGTTAGTAATGCCTTTTGGGCTTACTAATGCACCTAGCACATTCATGAGGCTAATGAATCATGCCCTTAGGGATTGCATTGGTAGGTTTGTAATTGTTTATTTTGATGATATCTTAATATATAGCCAAAGTCTAAGTGATCATGTGGATCACCTAACACAAGTTTTACTTGTTCTTAGAGACAATCACTTGTTTGCCAATGTAGACAAGTGCACTTTTTGTGTGGATAATGTTATATTCTTAGGGTTTGTGGTAAGTAAAAAAGGGGTTCATGTGGACCCCGAGAAAATCAAAGCCATCCAAGAATGGCCTATTCCTACTAATGTTAGTGAAGTTAGGAGCTTCCATGGTTTGGAAAGCTTTTATAGAAGATTTGTTCCTAACTTCTCTACCTTAACTTCACCTCTCAATGAGTTGGTGAAGAAGGATGTGGTCTTTTTGTGGCAAGAAAAACATAATTTAGCATTTCAAGAGCTTAAGCAAAAACTCACTCAAGCACCTGTTCTAGCTCTCCCTGATTTTAGCAAAACCTTTGAGCTAGAATGTGATGCTTCAGGTCTTGGCATAGGAGCTGTGTTGTTACAAGGTGGCCACCCCATAGCCTATTTCAGTGAAAAACTTCATGGGGCTGCCTTGAACTACCCTACCTATGACAAGGAGTTGCATGCTTGAGTTCGAGCCCTTCAAACTTGGGAACATTATCTTGTGACCAAGGAATTTGTTATTCATAGTGATCATGAATTACTTAAGTACTTGAAGGGTCAACATAAATTAAATAAGAGGCATGCAAAATGGGTTGAGTACCTTGAGCAATTTTCTTATGTCATCAAATATAAAAAAGGCTCTACCAATGTAGTGGCTGATGCTTTGTCAAGAAGACATGTGTTGTTAAACATCCTAGGTTCTCAAATACTAGGGTTTGATGACATAAAGGAATTGTATAAGAAAGACCTTGATTTTGCTAACTTTTATTCTTTATGTATTCAAAAACCTTATCAAGGTTACTATATTTCTGAGGGGTTTCTTTTTAAGAAAAATAAACTTTGTATTCCCCAAGGATCTATTAGGAAACTCTTGGTAAAGGAGAGCCATGAGGGTGGGCTCATGGGGCATTTTGGAATTGAGAAAACTCTTTCACTTTTGAGAGAGAAATTCTTTTGGCCTCATATGAAAAGAGATGTTCAAAGATTTTGTAGTAGTTGCATAGCTTGTTTACAAGCTAAGTCTACCACAAAACCTCATGGACTATACACCCCCTTGCCAATATCCAATGCTCCTTGGGTAGACATTTCCATGGATTTTATCCTTGGTTTGCCTAGGACCCAAAGAGGAAAGGATTCCATCTTTGTGGTTGTGGACCGTTTTAGCAAAATGGCACACTTTATTCCATGCCACAAAGTGGATGATGCAAGTAACATTGCTAAATTATTCTTTCAAGAAATTGTGAGACTACATGGGTTACCTAAAACTATAGTCTCAGATAGAGATGTTAAGTTCCTTAGCCATTTTTGGAAAACTTTATGGGCAAGGCTAGGAACTAAACTTCTATTTTCTACCACATGTCATCCCCAAACTGATGGGCAAACTGAGGTAGTTAATAGGTCTCTTGGGACTATGTTGAGGGCAATCCTCAAAGGCAACAAAAAGTCATGGGATGACTATCTCCCTCATGTGGAGTTTGCCTATAATAGGGTGGTCCATAAAACCACCAACATGTCTCCTTTTGAGATTGTTTATGGTTTCAATCCTCTAATTCCTTTGGATTTATTACCCCTTCCCGATGTTGCTTCCTTTATCCATAAAGAAGGCACATTTAGGGCTGAATTTGTCAAAAACTTGCATGAGAGGGTTAGAAATCATATTCAATCCCAAACAAAAAAATATGCAAAATACAATAATAAGGGAAGAAAGGAAGTTGTCTTCAAGGAAGGAGACTGGGTTTGGCTGCACCTTAGGAAGGATAAGTTTCCTTCCAAAAGAAAGTCCAAACTTAGTCCTAGAGGAGATGGACCCTTTCAAGTCCTTAGAAAAATAAACAATAATGCCTATGTCCTAGATCTTCCTTCTGAATATGGTGTTAGTCCTAGTTTTAATGTTTCTAATTTATCTCTCTTTACAGGATTTTCTATCCAAGAGGAGGATGCTTTGGATTTGAGGACAAATCATCTTCAAGAGGGAGAGGATGATGGAGGAGGCCCATGGGCCAAGGGCCCAACTACTAGGGCTATGGCAAAGAGGATCCAAGAGGAGTGGGCCCAAGCTCAAGGAAAGCCCATCACACTTTTTAGTTGGGTTTTGATTCAAGCCCAAGTAGAGTAGGAGTAGTGTAGGTTTGGGCCTTAGGGCTTGTATTTCATTTTAGGCCTTGTATTTCGGCCACTTAGACTAGGAATTTTATTTCATGGTCATTTGAGTTTAGGGTTAATTTAGGGTTACATGTGCATAGTCATTTGAATGTAATTAGCATAACATTTGGTATGCATTTCGGCCATGTGCACACATGCACATGGTGTGACCGAAATGCAACTCAAATGGATGCCAAATTACATCACAAATGAGTGCACATGGGTGGGTGACCGGGTTGGCTCCAAAATTTGAATTTTGAATTCAAATTTTGGGCGCCTAAAGTTAAGTAAACCATACCATGGTTTCACTTAACCTTAGGCTAACCCAAGGTATACCCTAAACCTAATTCTTCCTATAAATTCATATTGGCCGAAGTTTGTAATACTTTTGGACATAATTGAATGAGTTTTCTTCATTTGAAATCTCTCCCTCCGAAAGTCTCTCTCAACCTACCTCTACCCTACTTGAGCTCCTCTCCTTGTAGAGTTAGGTCATTGTTCTTCTATCCGGACTTAGCTAGGTCAAGACTTGGCTACCTTGTTCTTCTTGGAAGCTCCTATTCCTTGCACTTCATCCAAGGATCCGAGAAGAATTGAAACATTCCTTGAGGATTCTTGAAGTAGAACCTCATCATTTTTGTTGGGGAGGATGGATTTGTGTGATTGGGTGATAAATCTTATTTGTATTTAGCAAAACTTGGTTATCTATGTTAAAATAACCATGCCTTTAGTGATAAGAAATGGTTATTTATGTCAAAACTTGGTTTGTATTCATGGTGAGCCTGACTTTGGCGAAATAACTATGTCTTTACCGATAAGAGATGGAATGTTTCTTGTGTTTGTAGGAGGATTTGTGAATCATCCTTGGATTTCAACTTTTTTGGTGACTTCCTCAACTTCTTGGTGTGCACCACAATTCCCATTCATCAAAATTAATATGGATGGGAGTTATCTTCCTCATTGTGATAACATGGGTACTGTTAGGATATTATGTGATGTTGTTGGGAGGTAGATTGTTGGTTTCTCCAAGAATATGGGACAAGGGGATAATAACTATAAAGTGTTGGATTCTTAGTACATGGGATCATAACTTTTGTAAGGTAGTTTATGATTTAGACAATTTGACTTTAGTTAACATTTTGAACTGTTGGCTTGTTGAGGAGGTGACTGCATATCCTTACATAGGTATATTGTTTAAAATTAAGATTATCTTATGAGAGACTAGGACTGTACACTTGTTCACTCTCTACGAGAAACGAATGTCTTGGCACATACTCTATTTGGCTAGAGCTCGCATCCCTTCAACTGGGATCAAACATGGTTCATTCCTCCTTGATGGTGCTCTAGTTGCATATTGGAACGATTTGCTAGTTGTGTCTTAGGTTTTGTTTTTCTTTGACTCTTATTTCCATGTGTACCAAAGTAAAAACAAACTTCATTCCATTTTTATCCTTTTATAATTGTGCGATTTGGTCCTTAAGGTTTTAATTGAACAATTTTAATTTTTCATATATTACAATTGTGTAATTTGGGTTCTCCAAAATTGATTAAACAATTTTAATTTCTCAAGTATCCCAATTGTATAATTTTAGTTCATTAATTATCTCAATTATATAATTTTTAACCTATTTAAATTACATATATTATAATATTCATTCATGTATTAAATAATATATATTTATTAGTATTTTAGCATGTGCATTTCATATGCTAGATTTATTATTATACATAGTTAAAATTATAATAAATTTAATAAGTTATTTGAGTAAAGTAAATTTCTATAGTAAATTTTTACTCATAATCTCAAATAATATTAAAAATTAAAGTTTTTATATTTTTTTTACACCCAAAAATTAAAGTTTTAAAAATTTATACATCGGTATCCTCGTATTTTGTATCATGGTGCTCGAATGCAATAGTATCGTATCGGTGGATAGAAACGCCATTGAAGTTGAAAGAGTTCACAAAAGAGGTAGCTGCTCTCAACTGTTTGTAACATTACCCGTTCCTTCCAAACCCACAGCGACATGAAAGTCCCTTCCTCTCTTTTCCTCAAAGGCCACGTCGTTCCTTCCTCTGTGTTTCTCCTCAAAGGTAAGTAAACGGCTCGAGTTTTTTCAGCCTTCATATCTTAATTCAATCATTCCATGCTCTCTAAGTATGGCTGCAATAACCTTGAATCTGTTATTTTGTTAAAATAATTTATTTTGATAAACTTTAACGAACAGTGTTGTTTGAAGTTGTTTACAATTGGGCATATAATGCAGGAACACCTAATGTCAAAATGAATCCCATTTTGTGCTTCTGTAAAGCCATCCAAACTAGTTCATATGAAATTTCCAATGGAAGCTATCACCCCACTGTGCAACAGACAAAAGAAAAAAATACAATGGTATGTATGTATGTGAGTGTGTATGTGTGTTTGTGTGTATAGTACTTCCACCACTGTCACTATGAATTTGTTTGGGTAAAATTCTCCTGAAACGCTTATAGAAAAGAAAAATGAAATAAGTTTCTCAATAAGCTAATTTGTAAAAGTTCTCTCCTATTGTCCTCTCCGATATCTTATTTTTAATTCATGCATAAGTTAGTTTTAGTTTATGGAGAAGGTTATTTCAATTTTCATTCTTATTTTTCTTTTCTAGAAGTACTTCTAGAAAAGCTCATCCAAACAGACCCATATAACTTCCACTTAGTAGTATTTTTGTGGTAGCTAGGGAGACAGATTTGTTGGTGTTTTCTTACTGTTTCGATATCAACTTGTAGGAAAAGCCATCTAGGAAAATTGAATCTATTGGGGCATTTCAAAAGTTGCCGATTGTGATGCCATCTATTGACATTCTTGGCTCGGCATTGAGAAAGGCAAGGAAGGTTGCTCCAACGAAAGGTTCTTGACTGCAATTATGTTCTTCGATTCCGGGTTGACATTTGTGTTTACATCTTAAATCCTATGGTTGAGATTGACTTCTAGTTTGCTTAAACTGTAGGAATTGCTAATATCGCAAAAAGGGAAAAAAACAGGGGTGCAAAGCAACTTGATGCATTGATGAAAGTATGTTGTTTACGTCTGAGTATGTCATAGTTAGAGCTATAATGTTTATTTCTGTTTCTACTTCCCATTTTATGTAAAAATAATGTGTCATGAGATAACAGTGTAGCTCTTGTTAGGAAATTGCTGTTCCCTTGAGGACGTATGTGGAGAATTTTCCTAACAAAACATATCTTCATCCTTATGAAAGATCTCTTATTGAGCTGACACTTGGAGATGGATACTACGAAAAGGTATGTTATCAAAATCGAATTGCAGCACTAAATGTGTTTTTCGGCTTCCACTAGTGCATTCCTTTGGATATTACAGGAAATATATAGGCTCATGATTATTTATTGTTCCCATATTAGAAAGGCTGCGTGAATACATATTTTTGGTTGATGGCTGTGTATTCATATAAACTTGTTATTTTGGACTTTTTCTAATTTTAGGTTTAAAATTGTTTAACAGGTGCTAAGAGAGGTAGATGGTTTAAGGAAGAGAGTGGTATCCGTTGGAAAGGAACATGCTTCACTTTGCGCTAAGGTTTATTTAGTAATTCATATTTGATTGTGTCCTATTTCTTGGATGGATAATTCTGTACTTGTCATGTTGCTTGAAAGTATTATTTGCACTGGAATTTATGAAGTTTTAGTAACAAAATTAGGAGCCTTTTATGCTAGGTGTAGATGTTAATATCAATTTGTTCTTGTTGAAGGTATGAAATCTTGTCTTCATATTATATGATTTTATGATGTATAAATTTTTTTTGAAGAGATGTTTATATGATTTGTATGGTCCCATTGCTTCATCCTTAAAGCAGGAAACATTGCCCACATGGCCATGTCAGTATTTGTACTATCATGTCAGTCTGTTATTTTGCTGAAATTGAATTATTTCAGAATTAAGATGGAGTGTTACAAAATGCCTCTTTACATAATCATCTTGTTACATTGGTGATTTTTTTTTCCCATCCTTTTCTTTCTTCACATGATTGATTTTGTTTCATCTTGTAATAGTCTTCATCAAAGCGAGAAGCAGAGGAAAGGCTGAATGAGGTGAGACGCATATCTTTTGAGGAAACAGCTGATTTCTAAATTGTCTGAAGATTTCACCATGTGCCATTATTTTATGCAGGGTCTTAAGAAAGTTGAAGAGATTTTTGCTCAGGAACGAAAAGTTGTTGATGATTTGTTAGACATAGCCAAGGTATTCTACTTTTTTAACAAATGAATTTCTTCTTTGGTTCTACATGTGTATGCTTTCTGTAAACATACATATCACTGACAGTGTTCACAATATGGGTGGCCTGTGAAATTTAATTTAATTGTATTGAATAACTTTACATCTGAACTTAATCTATATCATCAAGATGATAGTTGTAAATGTTACAGACTCTTAGGGCGATGCCTGTGATTAATTTGGAAACACCAACTCTCTGCCTTGTTGGAGCTCCTAATGTAGGCAAATCTTCTTTGGTCCATGTACTATCTACTGGCAAGCCTGAGGTATGCAGCCAAATGTTTGAATATTTCTTTGTTAAAATCCTTCTTATATATGCTTTTTATATTTTATAATCTCTTAAAACCCGAGCTTGAATTGAATTACTGATCTTACTAAATAGTCCGAGATTGTGATAAATTTTGCATCTCTTTTAATTTTCTTCTTATGGGTCTGCCAAAAAGATTTAATATGCATATGGTGATATCAATCAGGACACAATCACCTTGGTTAAAATTGCAACTGGAGGATATGAACATATATAATTCTAGCTGATTCTTTGTTATAATGTAAATATTTCTACTTTGTTACTTGGATTTGTGGCCATTTCCAATGGGTTCTGTGATGGTGGTTCAGAAATGTTCAAGTGCCTTATGTCACAATTGTAATGCCTTTTCCTACTCTTGTTCTTGAATGAACGGTTTTTACTAGACTGAATAAAATTATAAGAGGATGTAGATTAGATTCTTCAGAGGATAATTACTCTTAATAGGGATTACAAATATAAAACCAATATAGAGTTTTAGGTGCAAATATAAGTATAGATCAAGGAGATTGGATTTAAATCGTAGTCCAGTTTTCCTTGATAGCAATGAGGTTCATTTCTTGGGGTACGCTTCTTTAATAACTCTGGCTGCTCTTTGTTTGGATGATGGAACTTGCATCATGTTTTAGAATTGTCCCTGCTCTATAATTTTTAAATCTTTCATTAATCCCCCATCAAATTTCCTTTTTATTAGGGTCATCATTTGAATTTTCGCTTTATTAGAGCTTTGGTTGATAGAGGCAAATGATTTACAACCCCCTTTTTACTTTTCTTGTTTCTCTTCACTTTTCTGCAAGTCCCAGCAAAAGAGTTTGGATTTTGGAGTATGGATTATTTTGGCTTGGTCTCTTATGAATCCCTCTTTCAGTTTCTATCTCAATCTTGCCACTGTCAAAGATTCCTTCATGACAAACTTTGGAATTCCAAATCTTCCGACTATGGACAACTATTATTAACATGATTAACGCTGTTCAGCCCTTTGATGATTGAATTGCTTGAGTGCTACCTTCTCAACTCTTTGATTTATATTAATAGAATACAGGAATCAAATCCCTTAGTTGTAGGGATTTATAAAACTTAATATTTTATAGCAATTTTCCTATTTATAATTACAGTAGAAATCAACAAACATCTCAAATAAATCAAGGAATATTGAAAATCACTGTCAAGCTGGTGCATATGTCACAAGCATGCAGCTTGTTACATATGTTTGTTACCCTTGGAGCTAAAGAGATTTTTTAGTGAAGGGATCAACCTCTTAAAGTTCAAAGAGGATGTAGTGATTTCTCGAAACATTCTTTCCATGGATGAAATGGTAGTCAACCTTTATATGTTTGGTCCACACATGATGGACTAGATTGGAGGCAATGTGTCCAATGCTGCATGATTATCACAAATGAGTTTTTTTTGTTTAACTTGCACCTATATATGCTTTTATTTATTTATTTTTTTCTGTTCCATGACATGAGATTGCCCCTAATAAGAACATAGCATGCAGAGGATAAACCACACGGTGCCATCAGCATAGATAAGATATGCTGCTTATGATCCTTCACCAGAGTTTCTGCTAAAGGCAACAGTTGATTTAAATCATGCTGAGGTTGTAAAACTTTTGAGGGACAATGAAAGGTTGTGACGAGCGCCACAAGGATGCTGAGTGTCACTGGTTTATAGAACTTTGGCCTGCTCCCAAAATTAGAACTAACATGAGGGCAATAGATCTGCTGTTTGAACAAGGCATCAATGATGAACTTGATAATGCTATTGAACTGGGCATCAATCCTTGCCCACCTGTAAGTTTCATGCAATAAAGTAGCCTTTGTGTCCTTGGCTGTTTAACGTTATTAGAATGTGGGTTTGGACTTAGTTCAATCTTACAAAATTGACTTTTACAGTGAGGGTTATGTCTCACTTATATATACTATTTTGGTCATACCACTAGTCAATGTAAAATCTTCAACACACATCCCTCATGCTAAGGACTAGATATTTTCGAGTATGAACTTTACAAGAATGGACATTTATTGGTGGACTGATAACGGCCTAATAGTGGCTGTCGGATTAAGGCCCAACAACACTCTCTAGGATAAGCCTGTACCATATTAAATTATGAGTTTAAGTCTAACTTAACCTTACAAAATCAATTTGTAAGATGAGAGCTGTCTTCTACTTTTATACACGATGTGGGATCTCCAACAAATGTGAAGTTAAAAGTCCAAGTATCATAGTTGCTCCCATCCAATTTGTCAGTAGAGAGGAGCATTGACATAACTGGTGAAACATTGAGCCTCTTTGTTTATAGTGTTCTTGGGAGCATTGATACCGGCCATGGGTTATATCACAAAAACAAAAATATGAAACTACATTACCATTTACCAGATTGGCTAGCAAGTGCATTTGTGAACCTATGGCATCATATAGAAAGGTGGGGGTAGATCTGGACAGAGAAGGTCAAGGTGAGTTGCTGTTGACAGTAGCTGGAGATGTTACTGGATATGCCAGCAAAGTGAAAGGTGACTGGGAGATGCAGGTAGTGCTTGAAGCTTTTGATAGAACCGAATTTTTTGGGTTGGCCTTGTTAAGAAAGTGGATTTTGAATCTAACTCGACCATATAAAACCGTGAGATCTCCAATAGGCCTGATGGTGGGGGTGACAAGATATGGGAGAAAATGTCATAGATATGTGCAGTGAAGAGCTAATGGAAAATCAATGGAGGACAATGGGTCCACTTGGTATGCTTGGTTCTTAGGTTGCCTCTAGTCTCTGGATAGTAGACACCATGTTGAGAGAGAAAAATGAGAAGCATGTGTTGAAAACCATGTGTCAATGCACACTAATAACTACAGAGTACAGACTGCTATGTATTAATCTAACAATGAATACACAAGTCATAATTTCCCTAATTAACATATATACAATTAAAAGGAACCTAATTAATCATATTACAATGAACATAGATACTAAACTAAGCTATACTAAATCTCATCATGTTTTGCTTCAGGCTTCAGCAAAACTTCATAGTTGCTGAATATTTAAAGATTCCACCATCCACTCTTTTTCTCATCGTTTCTATCTATCATTTCAGGTTTGTAACTATCCCTTCACAACAAGAGGAATTCTTATGGGTCATATTATTTTAAATTTTCAGAAGTTTCAGGTTAGCAATTTTCTGACTTTTTATCTGCTTTTTAACATTTTTTCCTGTTTTGAACTGGATATCATGCAGTTGTAATTGTATACCTGGCATGCCTGTAGGTAACAGATACTCCGGGACTGCTGAGGAGACATGATGGTAATTAACATTTCAATTATTTTTCTAAATTTTTAAGTAATATTTATTTATCTTATTTTGTGAGTATTATATATCCAAGGTTTTCTTAGTAAAAAATATTTTACTCCATAATTGGTTTGAGGATTAGTTTTCCTAAGAGATCTGTAGTATAGAGGAGTGCAGACAGTGACGTCGATTTCCATTTTGACATAGGTTTTTTAGCTCCTTAGAATTTGCAGTGCTCTTTAGTATCTATCTATTTGGTAGCCCTTTGGATGCTAAGCTAGAGGCTCCAAAGATTTGTGTACAAGGTTTGATGGCTCGTAGCTAGTTATTTATTGTAAATCTCTATTTTTTCTTTAGTATTATAGTTACAATTTTGGGTGGAATATAAGGAATTACGGGAAATACCCTATGGTTTAGGGATGGTAGTAGCAGGATCACACGGTTAGTTGGGAGAGTTGTTGTAGGCTAGAAAGAAAGGGGGATTTGTTCTCTGTAATTTGGTTTCTTAAAGCATTGTTATACTACACTATATAAATGGCTATCGTGTTATGTTTTGTTTGGCATAAGACAAATTAAGAGTAAAAATGGCTTGAGCTAAAAGGCTAAACCTTGAAAGCATATACATGTGAGAATATCTGCTCAGCATTTTACCTACACATTATGGAAGAATACTTTTTCAGCTTCTAGGTAGCACTCGTAGATATTTTAGGAACTTATGTCTGTTATGCAAAGGAAGTGGGTTTCTTTTTTCCATCTTCTTTTAGGTCAATACCTTGTCACGCCGAGTTTATAATTCTCTTATATATTAATGATTGATTTATCGTTGTTGTTGTTATACTGAAAAATAGAGTAGAAATGGTTTTCAATGGGAAAGGTAGGTTGGCGAAACTGGACTTGACGCAACTTGACTTGTTGAAGATTCAGATGGATTGTATATGTTGGTATATTATAATACGAGTTGTCGGAGGATCTTAGATCTCTTGTACCTAATAATTAGTGCTAATAAGTTGCACTTGATTTCTTTTTCTTTTTATATTTTAGTTTAGCATAATCTTTCCTCCTTTTTAATTTGTTTTTCTGGTTTGGAAATTTAGAGGACCGGAATAATTTGGAAAAGTTGACTCTGGCTGTCCTTTCACACCTGCCCACAGCAGTTTTGTATGTCCATGACCTTTCCGGGGAGTGTGGCACCTCACCTTCTGATCAGGTGTGCTTCTATGACAACTGAATTATTAGAACTGAAAATAAGTATGAAATTGAGATTTGTTAACTGGCTAAGATGGTTTAGTGTTCTGGCACTCAAGCGGTTGGATCATGCACTTGTTGGGAGTCTAGACTACATGAGCTTGACTAAGATTTGTGGCTCCATTTAAATTAGATGTCAGTTAAAGGCTTGTATCTGTGTTCATTTTCAGTGCTTCATTCTAATGTATTTTGGGGTCATCAACGTTTGGTTATTTACTTTGAAATTACTTCCATGGAGACCCATAAAAGGTATATTTGATAGCAGTCAGAAACAAAATAACATAAAGTGATAAGAATTGACTCAAGTGAGGATGGTTCATGTTCTGGGCTCCTCTATACTGCTCCTACCCTTTTTGGTTTCTGCATACTACTGTTTCAAGGGGACAATTTAAATGTTATGCCTTATTTGAGAAAGCCACTTGTTAATGGGCTACAGCCTCAGTTGCTGGACTATTACGCATCATAATTAATGAATTCTCTTCCCTTAACTTTGATGCATAACATGAAATTCTGTTCCTTTTGATTCAATTGCATAAAACAAGTTGATCACTACCACAATCCTTTCAAACTGTGGTGTTGTCCAGTTTCACTCCCCTTTCTCCTAGATCAGCATTTCCAATGCTGAGGAATCTAGAATTTTGATGAACATTAAAAGCTAAAATGGCCTACTGTTTGAGGTTGATGGGCATCTGGCCTTTTGTCTGTTTCTTTTCTATTAAGAGCTACTTTCTTCCGTCCTTGCTTAGTAGTGTTACACAATGCTGACACCAGATTGAGGGAGAACATTAGGTTGGTCCCAAGACAGTGCTAATATTCTCAAATTGTGTGCCAATTGCCTTTTTATGGTTGTCTATGTATAATTGTGTACCTCAGCTTAGTGGATGGAAAAACCTTGCGGTCCCATTGGGTAATCATTCACAAATGAAAATTTATCTGTATAATTTATATATGACATTATACACAGAAAGAAAGACGAAGAAAGCTTGTTGGTTTCAACTTTTGGCTATTATTTTCCTTTAGGGGGAAATCAAGATTGGAGATGGGGTATAAAAAGTCTGAAAAAATTGTAATCTTATTTGAAAGTTTGTCTTTCAATAAGGAAGTTGATTGATGTCGGTTGGTCATGCAGTTTTCTATATACAAAGAACTCAGAGAAAGGTTCACTGGACATTTATGGCTTGATGTTGTGTCAAAATCTGATCTGTTGAAGACGTCTCCTGTGGTGTATGCAACAGATGAGCCTCTTCCCTCACATGAGCTTGAGAAGTACCGGAAATCAGGTCCCGATGGAGCCATTAATGTATCTGTGAAAACACAAGAAGGGCTAAATGAGGTGAGGAAAATCTTTTCTAATTTTCATATTTTCACTAGAATCCGCATTATTATGGGTGTATGTTAGAATAAAGCGGTTGTGGTGAATTCCACACAATGTTTTGGTGATGATTTCAGTAGCTAAACAATGACATATTGATGCTGGCTTATGCAAGTCTTTACTTGTGAAACAAGAAAACCTTGCGATACTATGCTAGTTGTGCTGAAAGTTCTGCAAAATCGTAGATATAATAAATTTTAAAAACTTTTTTCTAATGAATCATCACAATTTTATGGACAGGAAAGTTCTTGTAAATTGTAATGGTAGCCACATTGGCACTCTTCGTGGCCCACCCCATCTTTTGGTGCAAGTTGCATCTTTTTGATGCAACTGCTAATTTCTTTGGCATGATATAAAGCCATTTTCCTCGTGTGGGTTTTCAACCCTCTAATTCTGTACAACCACATTATATGTAGTTACATGAATAAAATTATATTGTCTGAATTTCAAAATAAGTTGTTGCTGTTCAATGTTCATAGAAAAGTAATTAATAATAAATTTGAAGTTTATAAAAAAATTAAATTATGTAATTGTTGCATGGTGATTGTAGACTTACTATTATTAAAATAATGAATTTTTCTTTCGATAAAACAATTAATATGTAAAAACTCTATTTGATATATTTTAGCTGAATTATACTTTTGGTTTATTTGTTAAATTCATTTTGGTCCTTTATCTTTCAAAATATTCATTTTAATCTTTTATCTCTTAAATTTGGACCAATTTAATCCTTTTAAAACAATGATTGTTTTGAATTTTGAAACATAATTTATTTTATCATTTTTTGACTAATTCAAAACTTCAAACTTGTCTTATTAGATTTACTTATATAAAAACAATTGAAAACAATTGAAGTTCAAATAAGAAAAGGGTTACAAACATGTGAAAATTGCATGAAAATAAGTCTAAAAAAATAATTGAAAAATTTTAAAAATATAGTTTCATACTATTTTCTAGTTATTTATAAGACATATTTCTCACAACATTTTTACTATGTATATAGATCTTTTGGATTCAAGTGTCAATTGATTTCATAATTTTTATATAATTGAATATAATATTACAAGTTTCATGTCTTTATTTAGTTAAAAATTGATTTAAAATTATATTGTAAAATTAAAAATAATTATTATTTTAAAAGGACCAAATTGATCCAAAGATTTAAGACTAAAATGAATATTTTAACAAATAAAGGACTAAAATGAATATGAAAAATAAGATAAAGGACCAAAAGTATAATTTGATTATATGTTTACCATTTTAATATACCTAAAAAATAATGTGGGGGTTGGAGTAGTATGTGCATGATCCTAAGTTCGAACTTTGTTGCTATCATTGTAATTCCTATGGATAAAAAAAATAATTCTTTTTTGTGGATGAGCTTATTGATTAATATGGGTTGTTGCTTTTGTTGTGTAGTTGAAGCAGAGAGTGCATGAACTACTCAATTTGCAGATGGCCAAGATAGAGGATATTAGCAACAACCCGGAGAAGTGAAAGGTGCCACTCCACCAAGGTTGAAATCAAATTTGTTAAGAAACTTCCTGGTCAAATAGGGGAGTCTGGAACCTTCATGAGCCTGAATATCTTTGTAAAATAAGTCATTGCTGCTCTGTGGCCAGCCTCCAAGCAGAAAAACAGGCAAAGACTTTTTCATTACTGCCTTCAACATTTGAAGCATAGTAGAGTAAATTGACGGTAGGCTGAGCGTGTCAAACTTCCAGAGAATGTTGTGTTACCTATTAGCTTGGTTGAGGAGATCTTGTTCCACCTGTACAGGGTTTTCTTGAAGAAACAAGTAACGTTTCTTTATCAAGTTCATTAATCATTAGTTGCTATTGGCTGCAAACATAATTTATCGTAAGTCCATTATCAGAAGTGGTCATAAATTAGTTCACAAAAGTATCTGCTACAAAGATTTATTTTTCATCCTTTTCTATGTTATGCCTTGTTGAAAACAAAAAATGTACTAGTTCAAATTGAGGTGATTGATTTCTGTTGCACCTTGGTTTTTTCTATTCACACCGTCCTCTTTTTATTTATTTATTTTTTTTTCAAGAATACTCCTCATGGACTTGTAGGCTTAATTCATCAACTTGTTTTCCGTACAAGTATAAAATATTCTTTAACATAATAATAATTTAACATTTCAATCTATAATAAAACAAGTAACAAACTATAATAATAAAGTATTAGAGTTAATCACCTATACACTGTCAGTGTAAAAAAATTTTATATTGACAACTAATTATATCTTTTAATTGTATCATGTCATTAAAAACACATTTACTTTTAATAGTGACATGACACAATTAAAAGATATAATTGATTGTTAGTGTAAATTTTTTTTACATAGCAGTGTATAGATAATTAACTCAAAGTATTATAGTACATTACTATTAATAAAAAATTATTAGTTAAAATAATTCAACACTTAAATTTCTTAATTAAAGATCAAGTTTCAATTTCTGACTTAGACATGAAGGTACAACTTTTTACCTCTACATGAACTCACTGAGAATTTATATTTCTTTATATAACAAAAATAAAATAATACATTAGTATTAAATAAGATTAAATTATTAAAATAATAAAATTCTGAATTTATATAAACACAAGTTTCTAAAGTGAAAATAAATATTGAAAAAAATGAATTGGGGGAAAGTAATTTGCTTTAAAAATTGTTAACTCATTTCTTGACTCTAATTTATAAGAGTTTATATGAATTTAAATAATTTATCCGAATTTATCCAGAGTTTGACATAAAGTCATCTTGATTACTTACAAATGTAAATTCATAAATTTTTATAAGTAAACTCAGTTTGACAACCTTAACTCACTCCTCAATCCCCCCACCGATAAAATTAAATGCCTCTCACATCATTTCCTAAATCTCATTTACTAATCTTCTACTTCGCCTACAAAATAACAATATGATAGCAGCCTAAGTGCAACCAAAGGAAGTGGAGAAAAACTTGTAGGATAGAAAATCCTGTAAAGAGAGATAAATTAGAAACATTAAAACTAGGACTAACACCATATTCAGAAGGAAGATCTAGGACATAGGCATTATTGTTTATTTTTCTAAGGACTTGAAAGGGTCCATCTCCTCTAGGACTAAGTTTGGACTTTCTTTTGGAAGGAAACTTATCCTTCCTAAGGTGCAGCCAAACCCAGTCTCCTTCCTTGAAGACAACTTCCTTTCT